TTTCAACCGAATCCTCGGTAGTATAGTGGTGAGTATCCCCGCCTGTCACGCGGGAGACCGGGGTTCGATTCCCCGCCGGGGAGGTGTAATTTTTTTTTCGTTCTTCGTTCTTATCTTCTGTTGGAACTCCTCAATGTTACTACTACAGGCGTTATTTTCATTTTTATGGCTACTGCACTATTGCGAAAGTAGCCAACAATGCCGTCGTCGAAGCATTCTTTGTAACATTCCTGTGTAAACTTTTTTTGAAACAATTCTTAAAATTCCTGTGTATTCATTACTGAACATGATATGGCATTGTTCGATCCTGTTCCGCGGCTTCATTGACTTCATTGGCTTCATTTTACATATAAATAGGCCCATTGTGCATTAAATGGGATTTTACAGTACCCCATATCATTAGTACAGGCCCTACTTGTGCAGTGCTCTTAGATAGGGAGAACTGTTATTCAAATGTAAATTTGACGAATATTTTTATCTGATTGAATTGTTCTCGATAAACTAATAAAATTTACATGTATATGTTATACTTCTGATCATTTACTTCTTGAGACAAATATTGTGACAAATCAAAACATCCTGCTCATTTAAGAAAATGTGTTGTACTATTAAATTATGATTTTTTAGCCATATATTTATTAAACGTTGACATGTCCATAATGTTCTCGAAATGAGTACAATATGCTAACAACACAAACAGGTCCCGTCGTGAGTAGTCTCCGTGGCGCAATCGGTTAGCGCGTTCGGCTGTTAACCGAAAGGTTTGGTGGTTCAAGCCCACCCGGGGACGTTACTTTTTCTTCACTTAAAAGAAAAATCCCACAGTATTTTTTGTTACCAATGATTGTAAGACTAGTTATGCACGTAAAAGGATCCTTCTAATAAAACATAACTTGCGTGTGTTTTTAAATACATTACTTTCTTGGCCATGGGGATAAAAAGAGAAGCGTCCTAACTACATGTAGTTAAAACAAAAATATAAATTAACAAGGGAATTGCCACTAGCTTTAAACATCCACTACCATGTCTTGCATTTTGAACACGGTTTGCCTCGGGATATCTATTGTAACAATTCCCTCACAATGTTCATAAGAAGCAATAATAATAATAATTATAGCTTCACAAAATATTAAAAAAATAAATAACCCAGCTGGGCCTGTCTCGGGAGTCGAACCCGGGACCTCCTTAAGCAAGAATCATGCCACTAGACCAACAGGCCAGACATGATAAGCAGTCTCAACAAGGTTTACTACTGCTGGGATTAGCAGGTAGTTTAACACCCGTACTTTGTCCGATCCACGAGATATTGGTAACTGGCCAACTCCTTCTCTGTTTCTAGGTTTATAAAACCCTATACAGCCCCAATAACCTTTCTCCTTTTTGAAGAATGTTTGATGAACATAATGAACATCAATGGGCATAATAGGTTATTTCTACAACATGGAAGGAAAATAAATCTAACGCAATTTTTCAACAGATCAACTGTCAAGGCTATAAGCAAATTGGTAACTTTTGGTCTTCTTTCTAACAAAATAATCGATCCGCAAAAATAATCAGTAAAATATGTCGGGAAGTTCTTTTTCTGCCAGCATAGTGATGAATGCGCGAGAGACCGGGACTTTTGATGTATTTAGATGTTGCTAAATCTGAGGAACTGTTTTGTTATAAATGCAGACGGCGTCCAAAATGCACAACGTAACTTGATATTAATTTTTATCTTACTAATACTTGCATAAAATGTTTTTGTTTATTGAATATAAATTCCGTGATTTGTCCAGTATAGTGTAGATGTAATTGCTAAGCTCAAAGAAGATGGGATAGTTTAATACACTTTATATCACACCCGCTCCTACTGAAAATACATTTAGTTTGTTAAATTGTTAATAATGGCCTGTGTTATACGCCTGTGTTGGTACATTTGCAGTAGTGGTTTGCTTAAAAGTTCCCTATTATCAGTGTTCCTTCAGTTGGGAGCGGTTTCTTTCCGTAGACAAACATGGCGCTTTTTGCCTTCTCCGAAAAGCATTTATCTCCTTCAGTGCCTTTCGATGGTCCTTCCGCGTCCGCCATCTTGCCCAAACCTGCACTCGCATTGGCATGCGCAGGAACGCTAGTTACCAAGCTCTCGCATAAAAATACAAGTTATCGAGAATTTTGGCCTCAAGTGTGTGGAAAAGCTCTATCGAGCACTAATAGTTGTCGACTAGTTTTGGTTGTCGAATACTAATAGTTGTCGACAACTATCTCTCTAGTCTGTGGAGCCCCTTAGAGTGTTAATATATGTCGGAGTTAGTAATGAGTACAGTAATCCTCGGTAGTGTATATATAAACAATAGCCTCCATTTGGCGAGGAAATATCGAGCATATTTTTGAAGCCAAATGGAGGCTATTGTAGTTATTATCCTTCAAATATTTTTTCACAAGGCTCTGTTTGCCGTGGAAGATCTCGGTCGGCCAAGCTGTTAAACATCAAAAATAATTATGTTGGCGTTCAAAAATATTTCTAGTCGGTTCAAAACAATCAGTTTTTATTTAATTTAGCAATTTATTTGAGACGAAAACTGAACCTGCGAACGCGAAACGCAAATTTTCAAAAACTGGGGAATATCACTTGGGGAATATCACCCGGATATTCCCCAGTTTTGGCTGCGTCACGTGACGTGCTTAGACCAATCGTACGCGAGAACAATTTTTGATGGATTATAATGGTGAGTATCTACGTGTCATTGCATGAAATACTTCAGTCGTTATTTTTTACAACATACATGTATAGAGCATATTTTGATGTAATTATTAAAACATTATGCACAAAATATACAATTTTATGAAGGCCAAAACAATGATCATATAATTTTTATGCAGAAACATTGACGTGAAATATTGGCTTTCGAAAACAAAAATGGTAGTACATAACGAAATTCAAATTCCGGTACATTCATTTTAGAAAACAATTGTTTTTTTCCCCAATGAATAAAAAAAAAATATGGTTAGCTTACTGTTAGGCACCGATGGGATTTGAACCCATGACCTCCTGTTTACTAGACAGGCGCTCTAACCAACTGAGCTACGGCGCCAGGTGTGAGGCAAAAGGGCGTTTCAAAATAAGCAATTGATTGATTAATGAAAGCCTTGTCACAAAATTCTAACAAAAAGAGGCTGCGTGAATCAGTGAAATATTCGGCAGCAGTTCAATGTTGTTTCAATGTAACCTTTTTTTTTTTTTTTTTTTTTTTGGCTTATTTTCTTTTAGTTGTCGTACACTTTACGATAAAAGGGACCTTTTAAAACACCAGGACGACGGGCTACCGAAAGTAAAATCCGAGCACGTGGCCATAAGCACTGTTCAGACCTCTCCAGCCGTCATTCCAGGCGACTTTCCCTTGAAATGATCAACACACATCAGAATGATGTGTTTAATATTCGAGGAAATAAGGCGAGTTATAACGCACAAAGGTTTCAAAAAATTAGAAAAAAATAAGCAGACATATCAGAGAGACAAACCCTTCCTTTACCTATATCCGTTTCCGTGGTGGTGGTTATCACGTCCGCTTAACACGCGGAAGGTCGCAGGTTCGGTCCCTGCCGGAAACATAACTTTATTTTATTATTGTTATTTGTTTTTTTTAAGACTCCAAATATTTTATGATAATGTAGCAAGCGAATAAAATTATTATAAATACATCATACTATACTAGCGTATTTAGAATTCATCTTTGGCGATTTCAAAGAGGATTAAAAAAGAAGGAGAAAGTGCAAAGCATTTTACATTTTTATTGTAAAGCCGAAACTTTCAACAATTATAATGTGGTTTCCGTGGTACGTAGTTGCTATCATGTCCGCTATACGGCAGAGAGCGCTAGCGTTGGCCGATTGTTTTTTTTTTTTTTCATGCGCTGGCTATTAGCATGCATGGAAATACTGGAAGTAAACATAATTTTAAAGGCAAATAAATGACTTTCAATTGTTTTGGTGATGTTGTGGTTTCAAAAGCTGCGGATGCCTTCAGTTGCAGATATATTTTTACGATATTTGAAAGATAAGTAGGTAACTCCACATTTCAATTGCTAAACAGCTAAAGTTAGGGCAAGATTAATTAGTTGTACGTGTTAATTAGTTATAATTATATTAGTGATTAATTAGGCTATACTCTCAGCTTATACTCTCAGTGTGTGGTTGAACATTTCTTGGTTGACCATGTCCTTTACTAACAAATAAATAGTCAAAGTTAATAGGGTATTTTTCAACCGAATCCTCGGTAGTATAGTGGTGAGTATCCCGCCTGTCACGCGGGAGACCGGGGTTCGATTCCCCGCCGGGGAGGTGTCATTTTTTTTTCGTTCTTATCTGCTGTTGGAAATCCTCAATGTCGTTATTTTCATTTTTACTGAATTGGCTTTGTATAAAGTACACGACGTAATGTCTTTGGGTCAATAAACAATATATCCTTTTTACAGGACAAATTTTGGGAAGATTGAGAAGATTGAGAATAGATTAGCATTATCTCATTATCTCACACTTGGATTTTAAAATGAGTGGTGTTCGTAAAGAATTACTAAACATTATCGAAGCAAAGAGGCCCGGAGAATGGTGTAAACCATTATATAGATGGTCACTTGATGTGGGAATCCACAACACCAGATTAATATACTCGTAATCAGTCTGACGTTATAGATTCGAATAGATGGTGAAATCAGCCATCAAAATTAACAAAGCAAAACAGCAAACAAACACTGCTTGACCCTTAAAGGGGCAGTATCACGATAATTCTCCCAATTTTTTGTGTAAACTGCGCTTGAATTATGAAGGTACACTCGCTTATGCAAAAAATGGCTCTTGAACAACAAGGGAAATACGAATTCATTCTCTTGAGGTGGGAACAACCCAGAATCATTGATGTTGAGCTATTTTCCCAAGAACACCGTAAACTCGAAACCGTCGGCCCGACTATTTCAAGTTTCATTCAACTTCCTCTCCATTTTTCTGTACTAGTATAGTAACTTTTAGTAAGACATTTCCATTGATACAAACACTTCTGAGTAGTACTAAATCTTGGTGACACTGCCCCTTTTTTATTTCATAATTTAAATACATTTTGATAACTAATGAATGGACAAGTAATTTTATGTAGGGTTAAGAAACCCGTTATCAAAATAAATGAAAGTTCGCTTAAACTATCGTTGAAAAAAAAAAACAAGAAGGAGAAGATTGATACTCCGCCTCGACTGGGAAACGGTTTATCGGTTAACTACATAAAATAATTGTGTTTGAAATTTCCGAATACGTCATTGAACTCTTTTCGATAAAAATAATATCCCTTGAAAGCAGCCCCCAAAAATGTAATGATTTAATGTTGATTAACTCAAATGATCCGTCCCCGGGTGGGCTTGAACCACCAACCTTTCGGTTAACAGCCGAACGCGCTAACCGATTGCGCCACGGAGACTACTTACGGAGTGTGTTTTCGTTTTGTAATACTCAGGATACTGTGCGCATTCAAAATAAAGCTGCATGATTATAACCGAGGTTTAAAAATTCACGTGATCAAACAATTGACACACCAAATGTTCTCAGATAGTTTTTTAGGAAAAGTCACAAAGTTTGTCTACAATTGCTTGAATTATCTTTAGTAAGATGAATTTTAAATCAGCGCTGACACTTCTATATATTCTTAAAACACTTTACTTGTCCATTAGTTAAATGTATTTAAATGATATAAATAAAGGGGCAGTGTCACCAATATTTAGTACTACTCAGAAGTGTTTTGTATCAATGGAAATCCACTATTAGTGGCTTGGCCTTACTAAAAGTTACTATACTAGTAGCAGAAAAATGGAGGAGGAAGGGGAATGAAACTTGAAATAGTCGGGCCGACGGTTTCGACGAAGTTTTACGGTGTTCTTGGGAAAATAGCTCAAAATCAATGATTCTGGTTTGTTCCCACCTCAGGAGAATGAATTGATGTATTTCCCTTGTTTTTTCAAGAGCCATTTTTTTCTATCAGCGAGTGTACCTTCATAATTCAAGCGTAGTTTACACAAAAAAAATGGAAGAACTATCGTGATACTGCCCGTTTAAAGGTCAAGCAGTGTTTGTTTGCTGTTTTTGTTTTGTTAATTTTTGATGGCTGATTTTATCATCTATAACATCAGACTGATTACGAGTATATCAATCTGGTGTTGTGGATGCCCACATCAGTGACCATCTATGTAATGGTTTAGACCATTCTACTGACCTCTTTGCTTCGATAATGTTAATTAAGTAATTCTTCACGAACACCACTAATTTTAAAAACCAAGTATGAGATAATGAGATAATGCAAAACTATTCTCAATCTTCTCAATCTTCCAAAATTTGTCCTGACCCAAAGGACATTCCGTCGTGTAATTTATACAAAGCCATTCAGCAAACATGAAAATTAACGCCTGCAGTAGTAACATTGAGGAGTTCCAACAGAAGATAAGAACGAAAAACAAATACACCTCCCCGGCGGGGAATCGAACCCCGGTCTCCCGCGTGACAGGCGGGGATACTCACCACTATACTACCGAGGATTCGGTTGAAAATAGCCCATTAGCTTTGACTATTTATTTGTTAGTAAAGAACATGGTCAACCAATAAATGTTCAACCATACACTGAGAGTATATATAAAAAACAACTAATTAATCTTGACCTAACGTTAGTTGTTTAGCAATTGAAATATGGAGTTATCTACTTATCTTTTAAATATCGTAATCAAAATCAAAACATATCTGCAACTGAAGGCATCCGAAGTTTTTGAAACCACAACATCACCAAAACAATCGAAAGTCATATATTTGTCTTTAAAATGACGGTTACTTCCATTATTTCCATGCTGCTAATGACCAGCGGATGTATGGGAAAAATCGGCAACGCTAAGTGCCGTATAGCGGACATGATAGCAACTACATCACTGAAACCACATTATAATTGTTGGAAGTTTCGGCTTTAAAATGCTTTGCACTTTTTCCTTCTTTTTTAATCCTCTTTGAAATCGCCAAAGATGAATTCTAAATAGGCTAGTATAGTATGTTGTATTTATTCGCTTATAATTTTATTCGCTTGCTACATTATCATAAAATATTTGTTGTCTTAAAAAAAAAATAATAATTAAAAAAAATTGTTTCCGGCAGGGCTCGAACCTGCGACCTTCCGCGTGTTAGGCGGACGTGATAAGGGTTTGTCTCTCTGATGTCTGTTTCTTTTCTTTTCTAACTTTTGAAACCTCTGTGCGTTCCTCGAATATTAAACACATCATTCTGATGTGTGTTGATCATCTCAAGGGAAAGTCGCCTGGAATTAAGGCTGGAGAGGTCTGAACAGTGCTTCCGGCCATGTGCTTGGATTTTACTTTCGGTTGTGCTTGGATTTTACTTTCGGTAGTCCCGTCGTGGCTATTGTTTTAAAAGGTCGCTATGTGTACGACAACTAAAAAGCAAATAAGCCAAAAAAAAGGGTACATTGAAACATTGAACTGCTGCCGATATTTCACTGATTCACGCAGCCTCTTTTTGGTACAATAGCCCTTTTTACGGTTAACCTGAAATATTTGCATAACAATACAGCTAAACATAGAAGCGAGACAATTTCGGGCACAAGCTGTAAACATCGTGATTTCCTTGAGCTCCTTTAACTATGTTAGCATAAAAATAGTTTTAAAACGGAGAAGATCTAAATATGCAACTATTTTAGTTAAAGTTTGCCGTATAGATCGTAATCCGATCTCGCTGTTGCTTATGCGAGTCTACTCTTTTTTTAATACAGAAAAGGCGTTTTACAATTTTTTTTCTAAAACAACGTAAACTAAAATAATTGTAGTTCTTCTACATTTTAAAACTGTTTTTATACTAAAAGAGTTCAAGGAGTTCAAGAAAAACACGATGATTTACAGCTTGTGCCCGAAATTACCTTGCTTTCTATGTTCAAGTGTATTGTTATGCAAATATCGCAAGTTAACCGTGAAACGGGCTATTTTGTGACAAGGCTTTCATTAATCAATCAATTGCTTATTTGGAAACGCCCTTTTTCCTCACACCTGGCGCCGTAGCTCAGTTGGTTAGAGCGCCTGTCTAGTAACAGGAGGTCATGGGTTCAAATCCCATCGGTGCCTAACAGTAAGCTAACCATATTTTTGTATTCATTGGGGAAAAACAATTGTTCTCTAAAATGAATGTACCGGAATTTGAATATCGTTATGTACTACCATTTTTGTATTCGTAGCCAATATTTCACGTCAATTTTTCTGCATAAAATTATATGATCATTGTTTTTGGCAGGGGGGGAGGGGGGGGGTAGCTACTTCCCATAGATTCTCTTAAATCAAATCCATACCATGCTCTCTCAACTTGCAAAGCAATCATCACAACTTTAGCCAGCGGATTCATAATCTGCACGTGCGTAGAAGTTGTGTAAAGCCAGAAGGAAAGCTTTTAAAGAAAACATAAAACATGGCGGCCGATGAGGCGATGGAAGTGCGTACTGATGTCTGAATGATTATTTTATTTTTTCACTTTGTGATCCTAATTTAAACCAGATAAACTTCTTCCTCAAGTTTTTCGTTTTTAAGGGCCTACACAGACTAGAGAGATAGTTGTCGACAACTATTATTATTCGATAACTAAAATGAGTCGACAACTATTAGTGCTCGATAGAGCTTTTCCACACACTTGAGGCCAAAATTATCGATAACTTGTATTTTTATGCGAAAGCTTGGTAACTAGCGTTCCTGCGCATGCCAATGCGAGTGCAAGTTTGGGCAAGATGGCGGACGCGGAAGGACCATCGAAAGGCACTGAAGGAGAAAAATGCTTTTCGAAGCCTTGAGCTTAGCAATTACATCTACACTTTACTGGACAAATCATGGAATTTATATTCAATAAACAAAAACATTTTTATGCAAGTATCAGCAAGATAAAAATGAATTTCAAGTTGTGCATTTTGACGCCCTCTGCATTTATAACAACATTTTTCAGTTCCTCAGATTTAGCAACATCTAAATACATCAAAAGTCCCAGTCTCTCGCACATTTAATGCTTGCTGGCAGAACAAGAACTGATTATTTTTGTGGATCGATTATTTTGTTAGAAAGACAAAAACTTACCAATTTGCTTATAGCCTTGACTGTTGATCTGTTGAAACATTGCGTTTAGATTTATTTTCCTTCCATGTTGTAGAAAAAAAACCTTCTTTTATGCCCATCGATGTTCATTATGTTCATCAAACATTCTTCAAAAAGGAGAAACGAAAGGTTATTGGGGCTGTATAGGGTTTTTATAAACCTAGAAACAGAATCAGTGGAGTTGACCAGTAACCGTGATATATCTCGCAGATCAGACAAAGTACGGGTGTTAAACTACCTGCTAATCACAGCAGTAGTAAGCCTTTGTTGAAGCGTCTTATCATGTCTGGCCTGTTGGTCTAGTGGCATGATTCTCGCTTAGGGTGCGAGAGGTCCCGGGTTCGACTCCCGGACAGGCCCATTTTATCAGTATAGTGTTCTTCTAAATGGGAGTCTCTTAGGTATTCTTTTTTATGTCTTATTTAATTTGTAGTCCTAATTACTAAAACGTAATTCAAACAGCTTTCAGGTATATCGTGAAAGTTGGTGCAATTCACGCATTACGTAGTTTTGTTTGTTTGTTTGTTTGTTTGTTTGTTTGTTTGTTTTCAGTTGTTGTAGTTTTGTTTTTCTGGAGAAGAAAGTTTAATAAATGGTAGTTACTGTAAGGTTGTGGAAGCGAATACAACGTGGTTTCCGTAGCGTAGTGGTTATCAAGTCCGCCTCACAAGCGGAATGGTTTCGATCCCTGCCGGTAACATTAAATATTCCTTTTAGTTACGCTATTTTGTTTTAGATATTATTGCTAGAAGTTCTATTCCGCCCTGGCCCGGTTGTTCAATGGGCGGGATAACGGTATAACCGGGATAAATCACTATTCAGTGGAAAGCGTACAGTTTGTTTTGTTAACACTTATCCACTGGATAGCGATTTATCCGGTGGATAGTGTTGTCCACCCTTTTTTTAACAACCCGGCCCAGAAGATTTTCTTAGAATTAAAATAAAATAGCTTTATTTTTCGAGAGATTTAAAAGGTACTAACTCTGTGCAAATTAAATGTTTTGCATTGTTATAGATGCCAAAGACGTGAAAATGATATATATTTTTAAATAATCGCATGAAATAAAGTAAATTTACATTCCATCTTCCTTGAGCTCGGCAATTACATCAATTTAGGAAATATCATGGAATTTATATTCAATAAACAAAAAATATTTTGATGCAAGTATTGGTAAGATAAAAATTAATATCAAGTTGCGCCTTCTGACGCCTCTGCATTTATATTTAAAAAAAACTTGTAATTTCCTCAGAGTCAGCAACATCTAAATATATCAAAAGTAAAATTAAATGAAGTCCCAATCGTAAGATGTGAAGGCAGTAGTGTAGCAACTATACCTACAAAATTGTTTCCGGCAGGGCTCGAACCTGCGACCGCGTGTGAGTCGGACGTGATAACCACTACACTACGGAAACCACGTTCAGTATTCGCTTCTACAACATGTATTAATCTTCCTTATCAAGAAAAAAACACAACAACTAAAAACACACAAACAAACAAAAAGCAGTACGTAATGCATAAATTGCACCAAGTTTTCTCGATGTTCTTGGAGGTTGTTTGAATTACGTTTTAGTATTAACTACATATTAATTAAGACACCTAAGATACCTAAGAGACTCCCATAAAATAATAATTAAATAACTCTATAGTGATAAAATGGGCCTGTCCGGGAGTCGAACCCGGGACCTCTCGCACCCAAAGCGAGAATCATGCCACTAGACCAACAGGCCTTTCACGTAATTATCTGCTCTAAAATAGATTAAAAAAAAACTATGACTGGTACCAGTTTGTTTCTGGAGAGATTAAAGATTAATCACATGGTATTGGACAATTAGATATTAACGCTCTTTATCCATCATTATCGCGTTTTGCTAATTTGTCCTAATCTAGTCCATATTTAAATTGTATTCCACAAAGTTCTAGAATGAAAAGCAATTATGTTACATTTATATCCAGATTCGGGTGAACTTACCACCAAACGTTCGGTTAACAACAACAACAACAACGACGACGACAATTTATTAAAGTATTTCCATATGAATACATGCATGGCATCACCTATTGAAATTAAACTAAACTAAATTATAACTGAACATCAAATATCAAATATTTCAGTCATTTCTCAAACATAATTGTTGAATAGATTTGCATTATCTCATTAACTCACACTTGGATTTTAAAATTGGAGGTGTTCGTGAAGAATTACTAAACATTATCGAAGCAAAGAGGCCAGGAGAATAGTGTAAACCATTATATAGATGGTCACTGATGTTGGCATCCACAACACCAGATTAATATACTCGTAATCAGTCTGACGTTATAGCTAGATGGTGAAATCAGCCATCAAAAATTAACAAAACAAAAACAGCAAACAAACACTGCTTGACCCTTAAAGGGGCAGTATCACGATAATTCTCCCAATTTTTTGTGTAAACTACGCTTGAATTATGAAGGTACACTCGCTGATGCAAAAAATGGCTCTTGAACAACAAGGGAAATACGAATTCATTCTCCTGAGGTGGAAACAACCCAGAATCATTGATGTTGAGCTATTTTCCCAAGAACACCGTAAAACTCGAAACCGTCGGCCCGACTATTTCAAGTTTCATTCAACTTCCTCCTCCATTTTTCTGTACTAGTATAGTAACTTTTAGTAAGACCAAGCCACTATTATAGTGGATTTCCATTGATGCAAACACTTCTGAGTAGTACTAAATCTTGGTGACACTGCCCCTTTATTTCATAATTTAAATACATTTTGATAACCAATGAATGGACAAGTAATTTTATGTAGGGTTAAGAAACCCGTTATCAAAATAAATGAAAGTTCGCTTAAACTATCGCTGAAAAAAAGAAGATTGATACCAGCCTCGACTGGGAAACGGTTATCGGTTAACTACATCAAATAATTGTGTTGAAATTTCCGAATACGTCATTGAACTATTTTCGATAAAAATAATATCCCTTGAAAGCAGCCCCCAAAAATGTAATGATTTGATGTTGATCAACTGAAAATGATCCGTCCCCGGGTGGGCTTGAACCACCAACCTTTCGGTTAACAGCCGAACGCGCTAACCGATTGCGCCACGGAGACTACTTATTGACTACTTATTGGCGGAGTGTGGATACTGTGCGCATTCAAAATAAAGCTGCATGATTATAAGAGGGGGACATTGGGGTTTGCGGTATTGCGGTATTCGACAATTTTCCATGCGGTATTTCGGCAATTCCAATCTAAAATTGCGGTATTGCGGTATTCTCAAAACCTGCGGGATTCGGTTTTTTAGCGTTTTGGTCGGTATTAAAAACTATCCTCCAGTGTTTTACGACTTTTACGACCCTTTTCCATCCTTTTCCAGTTCCATGTCGTTTCGGAAACGCTTCGAAAAAGCTCTAAGATCCTCTAATCCGTCACGCGATTTTATATTAGTCATATTATACGAAACGTGATAACAATTTGATCGTTTTAACAATCTAAGCTGATATTTGCGCGAAATTTAACGAACAGAGTAGCGGTCTCGGTATTCTATCGATTTTTGACAAGGTATTGGACGTATTGCGGTATTTGGCGATTTTTTTTGTGATATTGCGGTATTTGTCAATTTTTTTTGCGGTTTTGCGGTGTTCAGAACCCCCCAATGTCCCCCTCTTATAACTGAGGTTTAAAAATTCACGTGATCAAACAATTGACACACCAAAATGTTCTCAGATAGTTTTTAGGAAAAGTCACAAAGTTTGGCTACAATTGCTTGAATTATCTTTAGTAAGATGAATTTTAAATCAGCGTAGACACTTTATATATTCTTAAAACACTTTACTTGTCCATTAGTTAACGAAATGTATTTAAATGATATAAATAAAGGGGGAGTGTCACCAAGATTTAGTACTACTCAGAAGAGTTTGTATCAATGGAAATCCACTAATACTGGCTTGGTCTTACTAAAAGTTACTATATTAGTACAGAAAAATGGAGGAGGAAGGGAAATGAAACTTGAAATAGTCGGGCCGACGGTTTCAAGTTTTACGGTGTTCTTGGGAAACTAGTAGCTCAAAATCAATGTTTCTGGTTTGTTTCCACCTCAGGAAAATGAATTGATGTATTTCCCTTGTTGTTCAAGAGCCATTTTTTGCATCAGCAAGTGTACCTTCATAATTCAAGCGTAGTTTACACAAACAATTGGGATAATTATCGTGATACTGCCACTTTAAGGGTCAAGCAGTGTTTGTTTGCTGTTTTTGTTTTGTTAATTTTTGATGGCTGATTTCACCATCTATAACATCAGACCGATTACGAGTATATCAATCTGGTGTTGTGGATGCCCACATCAGTGATCATCTAGCTATGTAATGGTTTACACCATTCCCCTGGTCTCTTTGCTTCGATAATTAATGTTTAGTAATTCTTCACGAACACCAATTTTAAAATCCAAGTGTGAGAGAGATAATGCAAAACTATTCTCAATCTTCTCAATCTTCCCAAAATTTGTCCTGTAAAAGGATATATTGTTTATTGACCCAAAGGACATTGCGTCGTGTACTTTATACAAAGCCAATTCAGTAAAAATGAAAATGACGCCTGCCGTAGTAACATTGAGGAGTTCCAACAGAGGATAAGAACGAAAAAGAAATGACACCTCCCCGGCGGGGAATCGAACCCCGGTCTCCCGCGTGACAGGCGGGGATACTCACCACTATACTACCGAGGATTCGGTTGAAAACAGCTTATTAGCTTTGACTATTTATTTGTTAGTAAAGAACATGGTCAACCAAGAAATGTTCAACCACACACACTGAGAGTATATATAACAAAACAACTCATTAATCTTGCCCTAACTTTAGCTGTTTATCAATTGAAATGTGGAGTTATCTACTTATCTTTTAAATATCGTAACCACATATCAAAAATTATTTGCAACTGAAGGCATCCGCAGTTTTTGAAACCACAACATCGCCAAAACAATTGAAAGTCATTTATTTGTCTTTAAAATGATGTTTACTTCCATTATTTTCATGCATGTTAATGGCCAGCGCATGGGAAACATCGGCAACGCTAAGTGCCGTATAGCGGACATGATAGCAACTACGCCACCACGGAAACCACATTATAATTGTTTGAAGTTTCGGCTTTAAAATGCTTTGCACTTTCTCCTTCTTTTGTAATCCTCTTTGAAATCGCCAAAGTACGCTAGTATAGTACGTACGTTGTATATATAATAGTAGACAGCCTCCTTGCAAATGAAGAAAATATATCAAATGGCAGGACTACTATGGCATGATCTGGTCATTTGCACCGAAGCTATCGATCAAACACCGATTGGTGAAAACAAAAATAGCAAAACATCAGTATTAAATTAAATAATTTTTTTCGCTTGCTACATTATCATAAAATATTTGTAGTCTTAAAAATATATAATAATAATAAAATAAAATTATGTTTCCGGCAGGGACCGAACCTGCGACCTTCCGCATGTTAAGCGGACGTGATAACCACTACACCACGGAAACGGATATAGGTAAAGGAAGGGTTTGTCTCTCTGATGTCTGCTTATTTTTTTTTCTAACTTTTTGAAACCTTTGTGCGTTCCTCAAATATTAAACAAATCATGTGTCGAGGGCGATTCCGCTTATCCAATCAAACAATTTCTAAATAGCTTTGTAATTTAGCATGGTCTGCTTTTACCAGTCTTCATGGTGTAAATGAC